CACTGAGACCCATTCTCTCTCATGTAGGCCTACCAAGCCTTTCCCACTTGATTTGAAGCCGCTAGAATTTGTGTATAAATACGTCAGAAACATTGGCTCGTAAGACGTATTTATACGTCGTAAACAGTCAAAGGGTTAAGTAGGGGCCCAATACTGGACGTTGTTCTCGACTTTGATTTGGCATAGGAGAGAAATACTTTGGGTTTCTTTTGATTTCATTTATGGCTTTTAGTTCTTCCCACGATTCCTGACTCCTATAAGATTCCTTTAGCTTAAGTTCGATGCTTGCTATTTCTCTGACCAGTGTCTCCCTACGCCTTTCAGATATATTGACCTCTTTTAGCCGCTCTGTTATTCTTTTCCGTCGCCTGTAAAGGGAGCGCCTGTCCCTTTCTATTTTACATCTACTCCTCCTTTTTCTTAGAGGAATAAGCCTTGTGCATACATCGAGTGCCACCGAGTTAATCTGTTCTAGGCATAAGTTGGGGTCTGTGTTGCTTAGTATATCTTACCAGCTTATATCAGTTAGGATTTGGTTTACTTGGTCCCACTTTATGTTTTTGTTACTGAAGTTGAATTTGGTGAATGCTCCCTCGTGACTAATCTCATTATGTCGGTCTGGGGCTCTGCGCATACATGTCTGAACCTCAATTATGTTGTGATCTGAGTATATTGTTTTTGATATGGTGACATTTCGTATCAGATCATCATTGTTATTGAAGATGAGGTCGGAATAAATTAAACTCATAAGCCAAGGTACCACTGTACAGTAATAGCTTTGCTACAGTCTGACAGCCATGTTGTTCAGTTGAGGATTGTGGCAAGACGTATTTGTTGACTGAGCATTGAGCTTCTTAATGCAGTAAGATTTTTTTTTTTTTTATTATTATTTTTAACCTGGAGGGCTAGCCACCCAGGATAACCCAATAAAGTTGGTGCATCACTGGAGACTATTTTATTTCCATTAGGGATTCTTCAATCTTCTCCCCAAGATGCAACCAACAACAGTCAACTAACAGGGGGCAGGTGTAAGAAAGTATGCCCTATATTTCACCGGTGTTAGGGATTTTAACCCTTTCAGGGTTTCGGCCTACTAGTAGGGCTTACGCCCCGGGGTTTTTTTGATACTATTCGCCTAAATTTAGCACCCTAAAATTAGTGAGGAAAAAGCGATAGGCCTCAATGAAAAAAGGGGTCTAGTGGTTGGGTGCAGTAAAAAAAAAAAATCCTGCAAAAACAGGCAAAATGAAAAAAAAAAAACTTTGACGTGTTTTTGGATTAAAACACGACTTAGCACTGATTTTCGTATGGTTTTTTGTTGTTTCTAGTTTTCCGGGCTCATTTTATAAAGGGAAGACATATTACAGAAGTTGAGTGTTTTTTGACGGGTTTTAAAATGAAAGTACTTTGAAATTGAGCTAATTTAGCAGAAATTTTCATTTTTACCAAAGTTAAAAATAAAAAAAATTGCGGCATCAAATACCCCAAACTGGTGAGTTAATATTCTTTTACAAGTGTGTTGTATATTTATACCTTTCTACAAAAAAGCAGTGTCTGCAAACAGAAAATCTTTTTTTTTTTGTGAGAATAAAAATTAAGGGGAAAAGCAAAAAAAAGTAAGAGGGGTGGGGGGCATGATAATAACAAGGAAATGTTTTTTTAGTCCCAGGAATGTCTTTCTTGTTTATTCGGGCCCCCTTTTCAAAAATTGGTCTTTTGAAATTTGTGTGGAAATTGGCAAAATTGCTAAATTTTTTACTCTTTCGATAGAAAAAAGGGAAAGTTCTGCGAATAGTTATGATTTTTGTCGACTAGTACACTGGAATTTGCCGAAAATAGGGCCAAAGTGGGAAAAAATCGCGATGCGTAAAACATGTCGAGACCGTAACTTCGTGAGAGCATAATTTCGTAAGTTTTCCACAAATTTCATACTTTTGGTGTCATTAGACGGAAAAAAATCATATTTTTTTTTTTTTTTTTTTTTTTAAATTTGGGCGACCGAGAAGAAGTCTCGAGGGGCCTGGCGCCCCTGAAGGGTTTTTAAAAGTGTTTGGGCAAATCAGCACTGGCAAGGAAAGTATGGTGGTTTAAACCCTCATAACTACAAGTGAGACTCCTACCCGAGATGTTTTTTTTGTGTGTCACATTTTCTTTCTAATGATTGTCACATTTTTTCTTTTAATATTTTGGTGTCATAGTAACCCTCTTGGGTGTCAGGGTTTAAATGTACAATAAGAAAAAGGCATTTCAAGAGGTATCTTTCAAAAAGCATTTATTATTAGTCATTATTAAAATTTTTTATCATTAGGATGATAGCTGTGTCTGAGCAGAGATGTCGTGTAAACACATGAGCAAATAAAGAGGACATTTTTAATGAAGTTTCATCTTGGACTTTGTTCATCCAGGGAGTGAACAAGGTCCCACTTTAAAATGTGCTAAATTTTTTGTCCAATTGTGGTTGTAAAATGACTCAGGTTTTGGGGCAGAAACACCTTTAAATTTTGAACAAAAAGTTTAAAATTTTACATATTAAAAATTTAAACAGCACATATTGTTGGTAAAAATGTTCAAAAAAATTTGCTTAGTATTATTCCCTTTCCAAAAAATCGAACTTCATATAAAAATCTTACAAGATTTTTGGTCCTTAGGAGGGGTTCCCTGATGCTAAGAGCAACTCACATTCCAAGAAAGGGAAACTATCCTCTCCTATATCAAACCTGATTACCTCTTTTTCCCAGGCACTGTATGAGTCTTTTGATTTAGTCTTCCCCTTTGAAATAAATACCGAGAAGAGGTACTACTGCATACATTGATCACAGATGAGGGTGTGGATGGGAGGGTGGACCTAGGCTAAGCTACTTTTTTCTTTTGAGGGTAATTAACCTTTATTACTACACTAAATCTGAAAATAGGTTAGAAGATACTTTGAGTGGGGTAGGACTTCCCTTGCCAAGCCCACGCCTACTGAGTGCTCCTCAGTTTTTAACCCTTTCAGGGCCAAGGCCAAAATCTGAAGGGGTGCCCCAGGTCCAAAAATTTAAAAAAAAAAAAAATGTTTTTTTTTCTTATGAAATGGTAGAGAATTTTTTTGTGAATGTAATAAAACAAAAAGTACAAATTTAGGGAAAAATGACGAAATTTGCTCTCGTAAATTTTGATTTTTTCAGCATATTTCGAATCGGTGTTTTCCCGATTTTGCCCCCTTTTTACCCCAATTACATTATTCCAGTCGCCCAAAATTTTTAGCTATTTCACTAGTATTATTTCATTCTACGATTGAGCACAAGAAATCGCCAAGTCAACTTTTCAATAAAAAAATAAGTGACCGGAAATGGTAATTTGGCCAATTTAACAAAAGTTAAAAATACCAATTTCAAATGGGGTCCGAATAAAAATGGGGTATTTCCGGGCCCTAAATAACTTTAAATCTGTTCATTAGTTACTTTTTTGGGCTTTACAAAAAAATTTCCCGTTTTGATTTTTTTTTACATAATAAATTTTTATTCACACCAAAAATAGAAAATTTACTGTTATGCAATTTGTATAATTGTTAAATATTCACCAATTTTTGAATTATAAGACCCCCCAGCTGGCGGTATTAGACGGTGGGGGCGTTTTTTTACTCTTGAACATCGGCAAAAAATTTAACTTTTTCCCACTTTGAGCTCAGTTTCAAGCCTTTCTAGTGCAAAAACAACAAAAATTTTCCTTTTTTCTGTAATATGTCTTTCCCTTCTATCAAATGAGATCAAAGAAATCACAAATAAACATAAAAAAAATAAAGAAAAAACACTGCAAAGTCGCTGTTTTAATCGAAATCATGGGCCAGTTTTTTTTCTCCATTATACACAGTGTGCGCGGATTTTTTTTATGTGGGGCACACAACCACATGATTTTTCCTCATATCAGGCCCAAATTTACCCTCACAGTTTATCGATGAGCTGACTCATGACGTGATCCCCGGTTTGGACCCTGAACGAAAGCCCAGATTTTTGGGGCGGGCCCTGAAAGGGTTTTAAAATTTATGAATGTATGTGCTTCTTAAAATGTCTTTTAAATTTCAAGTGTGTACTGTTATGCAGTATTTTTAAATAGATATAAATTTTTCATGAATTCAGGCTGACAAAAAAAGCAAATTTTTAAAGGGAGTGCTTCTGTATAATCTAGAATCTCAGGTTTCCCAAAAAATTTTGAGGGGTTGACATAGCTGACGTCCATTATGAATCATATTACTAGCATAGACGTCAGCACAATTCCCATTTAGGTTCTATGGGTGAATGTTAAGTAATACAGTGGTAGCTTGAGTTCAAACTTAATTCGTTTTCCCGAGGGCCCTTTTTATGCGATACCCAATGAATTTGTTCCTATAAGGAATAAGTAAATTTTTTTATTGTCCCCTTTCAGACCCCCAAAAAAACACTTAGAAAAGAAATTCAAAAAACACATCAATCCATGTTAAAACAGAGTTTTACTAAAAGAATTTTGGTAGGGCCCCATAGTTCCATAATCACTTCACGGACTTTTTAATTTTCCCGCTCCCGCAAAAAATAGATTCTGCAAATTTCGGAAAAAGTGATAGGACATTTTTTTAAATTTAAACACTGTGGTAAAGTATTTTTTTTTGTTCATGATTTTCCCCCACATTTTTTTATAAGAATTACTATTGAGGGTAACATTGTGCCCTTGTGGACATATTTGGACCCCTGTTTTACCTTACAATGTACCAAATTTTTATTTTGTTGGGTAATTTTTTCCAAAATTTTTACTTTATGTGAGGGGGAAGAAAAATTTCATAAGAGGTTATAAAATTTTTTATTTTAATATAATTATAGTCACAATGAGTTAGTCAAGCATTGCATAAATTCCATTCACTAAATATTGATTCTTATGAACGAATCACATTCCAGGGTACAGCCAGCAGACAAGTGGCAAGGTTTAAGATGGATCCCCCCCAAACCAAAGAAATTTTCGCCCGAACAGGATTTAAAGACTCGGTGGAGTCGAGGGCACATGTCTCCTGCAGGCAATAATAAGATGTTGCAGGTATGTTTACATCATTAGAATGGATGGTTTATTCTCTGTCTGTCTGCATTTCTCTTTCTCTCTGTCTGTTTTCTCTCTCCTTCTCTACACACATTAGCATGAGGTATAGTTGCCTCAGCACAGCTTCACATCTTTTTCCCTTAATAGTTTTTTGGGGTACAAGGGGTATTTTAAAAATTTTCCCCAATCTTCCCCTTGTTAATTTTTTTTTCAATCCAAGAATTTTTAAAAAGTATAAGTTCCCCCTTAAAGAGATTAATGATTTTTTATTATCCAATACACAAGCTCTTACAAAAACTGTCGTGTAATATATTTTTTATAATATATATTATTTTTTTTTTTTTTTCAACAAGTTGGTGGTAATTTTATGCACTGGTCAGGGAGGTATACCATCTTTTAGGAGTGAAGAGGAGCAGAATGTAAGTATGGGGGAGGTACGTGAGGCATTACGTAGAATGGAAAAGGGGGGTAAAGCGCTGGAACTGATGGAATCATGACAGAAATGTTAAAAGCAGGGGGGATATAGTGTTGGAGTGGTTGGTACTTTGTTTTAAATAAAATTTTATGAAAGAGGGGAAGGTACCTAGGATTGGCGGGGACATGAAAAGGGTCCCTTTATATAAAGGGGGAAAGGGGACAAAAGAGATTGTAAAAAATTATAGAGGAATAAGTTTATTGAGTATACCAGGAAAAGTGTATGGTAGGGTTATAATTGAAAGAATTAGAGGTAAGACAGAATGTAGGATTGGGGAAATGAGCAAGGAGGTTTCAGAGGGGGTTTAGGGGATGTGTAGATCAAGTGTTTTTCATTGAAGCATTTTATGTGAACAGTATTTAGATAAAGGTAGGGGAAATTTTTATTGGGATTTAGGATTTAGAAAATGCATATGATAGAGTGGATAGGGGAGCAATGTGGCTGATGTTGCAAGTATATGGAATAGGTGGTAAGTTACTAAATGCGTAAAGAGTTTTTTATGAGGATAGTGAGGCTCAGGTAAAAGTAGGTCTTAGACAGGGATGTGTAATGTCACCATGGTTGTTTAATATATTTATAGATGGGGTTGTAAAAGAAGTAAATGTTAGGGTGTTCGGGAGAGGGGTGGGATTAAATTATGGGGAATCAAATTCAAAATGGGAATTAACACAGTTACTTTTTGCTGATGATACTGTGCTTATGGGAGATTCTAAAGAAAAATTGCAAAGGTTAGTGGATTATGTGTGATTATGTGTGAGTGTGGTGAAAGTGTTGAATGATGATGAAAGCATTTTCTTTTTGGGGATTTTCTTTCTTTTTTGGGTCACCCTGCCTTTGGTGGGAGACGGCCAACTTGTTGAAAAAAAATATATATATTTTATATATTTTTTTTTTTCAAACAAATTGGCCCCTCTCCCACCAAGGCAGGGTGACCCAAAAAAGAAAGAAAATCCCCAAAAAAGAAAATGCTTTCATCATTAAACACTTTCACCACACTCACACATAATCACTGTTTTTGCAGAGGTGCTCAGAATTTCAACAGTTTTAGAGCATATACGTATAAAGATACACAACTTTACCCCTCCAAACTCCCAAATATCCCAAACCCTCCTTTAAAGTGCAGGCATTGTACTTCCCATTTCCAGGACTCAAGTCCGACTAATGAAAATAACCGTTTTCCCTGAATCCCTTCACTAAATATTACCCTGCTCACACTCCAACAGATCGTCAGGTCCCCAAATACCATTCGTCTCCATTCACTCCTATCTAACACGCTCACGCACGCTTGCTGGAAATCCAAGCCCCTTGCCCACAAAACCTCCTTTACCCCCTCTCTCCAACCCTTTCGAGGACGACCCCTACCTCGCCTTCCTTCCCCATAGATTTATTGTTTTCCATGTCATTCTACTTTGATCCATTCTCTCTAAATTTACCAAACCACCTCAACAACCCCCCTTCTGCCCTCTGACTAATACTTTATTAACTCCACACCTTTTCCTAATTTCCACACTCCGAATTTTCTGCATAATATTTACACCACACATTGCCCTTAGACAGGACATCTCCACTGCCTCCAACCGTTCCTCGCTGCTGCATTTACCACCCAAGCTTCACACCCATATAAGAGTGTTGGTACTACTATACTTTCATACATTCCCTTCTTTGCCTCCATAGATAACATTTTTTGACTCCACATATACCTCAATGCACCACTCACCTTTTTTCCCTCATCAATTCTATGATTAACCTCATCCTTCATAAATCCATCCTTCCGACACCTTAACTCCCAAGTATCTGAAAACATTTACTTCTCCATACTCCTCCTCCCCAATTTGATATCCAATTTTTCTTTATCTAAATCATTTGAAAACCCTCATCACCTTACTCTTTTCTATGTTCACTTTCAACTTTCACCTTTACCCCACATTTCCCAAACTCATCCACTAAGCTTTGCAATTTTTCTTAGAATCTCCCCTAAGCACAGTATCATCAGCAAAAAGTAATGTGTTAATTCCCATTTTGAAAATTTTATTCCCCCTATTTAATCCCACCCCTCTCCCGAACACCCTAGCATTTACTTTCTTTTACAACCCCTCTATAAATATATTAAACAACCATGGTTGACATTACACATCCCTGTCTAAAGGACCTACTTTTACCAGGAAGTAGTCTCCCTCTCTTCTATAAACCCTAACCTGAGCCTCACTATCCTCATAAAAACTCTTTACAGCATTTAGTAACTTACCCCTATTCCATATACTTGCAACATCTGCCACATTGCTCCCAAATCCACTCCATCATATGCCTTTTCTAAAATCCATAAATGCAATAAAAACTTCCCTACCTTTATCTAAATACTGTTCACATATATGCTTCATGTAAACACTTGATTACAATCCCCTACCCACTCTGAAACCTCCTTGCTCTCTGCAATCCTACATTCTGTCTTACCTCTAATTCTTTCAATTATAGCCCTACCATTACACTTTTCCTGGTAATACTCAATAACTTATTCCTCTATAATTTTTACAATCTCTTTTATCCCCTTTCCCTTTATATAAAGGAACTAAAACAGGCTCTCCGCCCAATCCCTAGGTACCTTCCCCTCTTTCATACTTTTATTAAACAAAAAGTCCCAACCACTCCAACACTATATTCCCCCCTGCTTTTAACATTTCTGTCATGATCCCATCAGTTCCAGCTGCTTTACCCCTTTCATTCTACGTAATGCCTCATGTACTCCCCCACACTTACTTTTCTGCTCTTCTTCACTCCTAAAAGATTGGGATACCTCCCTGACCAGTGCATTTAAAATTTCCACCTCCCTTTCTTCCTCAACATTTAAAAGTTTTCCCCCAAATATTCTCGCCGTCTACCCAATACCTTCCCTCTCCCCATCTATTACTCCCTACTCTGTTTTTAACTGACAAATCCATACTTTCCCTAGGCTTCCTTAACTTGTTTAACTCACTCCAAAATTTTTTCTTATTTTCATTAAAATTTCTTGACAGTGCCCCTTTCCCCCTCTATCATCTGCTCTCCTTTTTTCTATATTAATATATATATATTTTTTTTTTTTTTTTTATTATCACACTGGCCAATTCCCACCAAGGCAGGGTGGCCCGAAAAAGAAAAACTTTCATCATCATTCACTCCAGGTTGGTAGACAGCAACCACCCAGGGAAGTACTACCGTCCTGCCAGATGACTGTGAAACAAAAACCTGTAACTGTTTTGCATGATGGTAGGATTGCTGGTTTCTTTTTCTGTCTCATAAACACGCTAGATAACAGGGATATCTTGCTACTCCTACTTACACTTTGGTCACACTTCACAGACACGCACATGCATATATATATATACATACATCTAGGTTTTTCTCCTTTTTCTAAATAGCTCTTGTTCTTTTTTATTTCTTCTATTGTCCATGGGGAAGTGGAAAAGAATCTTTCCTCCGTAAGCCTGCGTGTCGTATGAGGCGACTAAAATGCCGGGGGCAATGGGGCTAGTAACCCCTTCTCCTGGGATACATTTAAATAAAAAAAGAAGAAGAAAAACTTTATATATTTAAAATATATAATATATATATATATATTTTATATATAATATTATATAATATATATTACGTATATTATATTATAAAACAGTGGGCCCCCGCATAACGATTACCTCCGAATGCAACCCAAATTTTGTAAGTGTATTTATGTAAGTGCGTTTGTACGTGTATGTTTGGGGTCTGAAATGGCTAATCTACTTCACAATATTTCTTATGGGAACAATTCGGTCAGTCGGGCACTAAACATACTTTGGAGTAAAAAAAATATCTTTTAACGGGGTCCACTGTATTTTTATTTTTATTTTATTATACACGGGCCCGATTCCCCCCAAAGGCAGGGTGGCCCTACTGTCTTGCCAAAGGGTGCTTTACATTCAGTTTTAAACTGCAACATTAAAACAGCAGGGCCCGCTTTATTTGGGTTTCCCGCTAATCGGTCATTTAAAATTTGACCAAACTCCTATAGGGCCCCCCCCACCGACTTTTAATACGTCACCGCGCCCCCCCCTTTTTTGTTTTACATTCTTTGTGAGCTAGTAAGCACAAAGTCCCCATTTTGTTGGAAACCCCAAAATTTTAAAATTTTTTTAAAAAGTTATTTTTTTTTTAATATTACTCTGTAATTTACTTATGTATCCCTGTATTTAATAAACTTACAATTTTGCTGGGAGCGGTACACCATACCCCCGGCCGGGGTTGAACCCGCGGGGGGTAGATTCTTTTTAAAGCATATATTACGTTAAATACACATTTTTTTTTAATCCATCATGAATTTTTTTCAAAAATTTTATAAATAAACACATACATAACATAAAAAGATGATAAAAAAACACCCCACATAGAATAAAAAACATAAATTGAGATGTGGTAGCAACGACTTCAAAAAGTGACGCCATTTTGAAAAAATAAAAATAATAATACCGAGTCCTTTTTAAATTTTAAAATTAGTTAATTTAAAAACATTTTCATTAACCCGCCATGAATTTTTTCAAATTATATAATAAACCGATACATAACATAAAAAGATGATAAAAACACCCCCAAAAAAGAAAAAATAAACATAAATATGGGATGTGGTAGCCCAATAACTTGTACAAGTGCGCCAAGAATAAAAAATTTTTCTTAATCTAACATAAGAGAAAAAAGTGTTACTGGGGGTTAAATGTAGAAAATTATTCCTTTGTATGTAAGTTTATTTGGTATAACAAATACGTTTCTAGATTATCATACATAAACAACTATGTTAGAGAACCTAGGATAACCCCAAAAAGTCAGTGACTTATTTCCTTGCCTTCACTCAGAGCATCATTTCTTCTCAAAATGATGTTACTAGAATGGGGGTGTTTTTTTATTTATCTACCGTAAACAATGTAGAGACAAACCTGTACACAATGTAAAATTGTAACAAACCGACGTGTACCTTTGTTTAAAAAAAATTACCTTCGCCCGGTTTGTTTACATAACTCTGCGCCTGTACTCTCTCATGCACTCATTCGTTCTCTCTCTCATTTATTCGTTTTATCTCATTTACTTACTCCTGACCCTACATTAAGACTACAAATATTTTAAGTAATGAGTGAACTGTATATACATTTTATCGCTCTGGGATGCTTAAATGTAATAAAATATTATGTGTAGGTGGGTTGGCCTGGTATGGTAGCCCGGCTGACTACCATACATACCACACTTGATTTTTTACAATAAATACTACTTATCTCACCCTATATTTTAAGGTAAGTATTGAGTGAACTGTATATACACTTTATCGCTCTGGGATGCTTAAATATCATAGAATAGTATGTGTGGGTGGGGTGGCCTGGTATGGTAGCCTGGCTGACTACCATACATACCACACTTGATTTCTTACAATAAATACTACTTGTCTCACCCTAGATTAAGACTATAAATATTTTAAGGTAAGTAATGAGTGCACTATGTGTGTATTGTACTTTTTTATTGTTTTTTGATGCCTGGTTCTATTGCTAACTTAATATATGTTAGTGTAAACTTGTTATCTAGTGTTTGTATGCATTTGTAAGTGGAAAAAAAGGGTGTTCCACTTTACGGCGGTAGCCTGGAACCTAACCAGCCGTATAAGTGGGGCCCTACTGTGTATATATGTATATATATATATATATATATATATATAATATATATATATATATATATATATATATATATTTATATATGTATATATATATATATAATTTTAGATTTACTTTTTCAGTCATATTAACATAAATTGCACTATGAAGAGGAGCTTCATAAGAGAGCTTACAGTATTAGCAATTTACAAGACTCCAAATTCTTGTCCTCAGGAATTCATGGACGAATCATTTTACCTCACAAATATTATACCACAAGATATTGACAATAACGGAGGATTTTGGAACCGATTTGAGATCTTCTGCCGTGACTTGACGCAGAAGTACACGGATGTGTGGGTCACCTCGGGTCCACTCTTCCTGCCAACCCAACAAGAGAATGGCAAGAAAATAGTTACATATGAGGTAACATTATAGTTTATGGGGTGCTTAAGTTTGTTTTTAATTACTACAATGAAAAGTCATTTTAAAATACCTATAGTAAGACCCTAATTTAATGGACTTTGGAAATATACTGAACAAATTCTGCTGGATCACTTGATTCGGAAACAACGCACAAAGGCCATTGGTTACAGAATTTGTTCGCTGTTATGATCTTAACAAAACAATCTTGTGTCCACCACCGTTGCCACCCATGCCCCTTTTTAGTTCATTAAATCAAGGATTTGCTTATTATTACAAGATGGAATTTGTTTCTAGACCACAACTGATGCTTTAGTCTGATAATATTGCATCACTAAAAGGTAAGTGCAACATGGACTGAAAATAATCACTGCAAAGTGTCAGTTTTGGCCTCAATCAAGGAGGGTCTCTCAAGCTGAACTTTACACTTGATTTTTATTCTGTTTTATTTTCCATCCTTACTGGGGTTTCATTAATCAGGGGTTGTTGAAGTTGTTTGGATATTTAGAGAGGGCAGAGCAAAATAGGATGACTTGGAGGGTGTATAAATCTGTAGTGGAAGGAAATTGGGGTAGGAGTCGCCCTAGGAAAGATTGGAGGGAAGGGGGTAAAGGAGGTTTTGTTTGTGAGGGACTTGGACATCCAGCAGGCATGTGAGCATGTTAGATGTGAGTGGAGGCAAATGGTTTTTGGGACTTGACACACTGTTGGAGTGTGAACAAGGTAACATTTTGTGAAGGGATTCAGGGAAACTGGTTAGCCAGACTTGAGTCCTGGAGCTGTGGAAATATACATATCCTGTGTACCTGCACAAACACACATTTGTAGTTCTGTATTTCATAACTGCAAAGTTATCAAACAGAATTTTACTATTACAAATAATTTTCTTGTCAGGTGATTGGTGAGAATGAGGTAGCAGTGCCCACACACCTCTACAAAGTGATTGTTGCCCATAATGGAGACAACATTGTTACAGGATCATTTGTTGTGCCAAATAAACCTATTGACTACTCTCATCACCTTAAGGAATTCCAAGTCACCATGGATTACCTTGAGAGAAAAGTTGGTAATAAATTTTATACTAATATGAACAGGTAAAGATAAATGTGCATTTGGTAAGTTGCTGTAGATTCTTTGTATTAAACAAAAATATTCTCAGAGTGGAGGATGGATTTATTAATGTTTAACACCTGATATATTTTAGCACATGATTTAATGTCTGGCTATATTTGCAGTCATACCTACAAATTTGCAGGAGAGGTTATATTCATTGATGAACAATGATTTATTATTTTTCTAATCTTGAAACTAGGACAGTGACGAGCAGAGTTATAGGATTAACCCCATGAAAATGATCAACTCTAAGTTAATTATTGTTACTGCTTTTCAGAGATGAAGCAAGAGATCTGTGTGAAGATACAGGTTGCAATCTGATGTCCAAAACAGAGATGGATGAGTATATCATTACTCAGAGGCTCAAGGGGGTAAACAGTCTTAAAAAACTGGCAAAACTATGGAAAAATATGGAGGTAAATTGCCTTAACCCTTTGACTGTTTTGGTAGTTTATATACATCTTAAGAGCCAGTGTTTTTGACATGTTAATACGCCAAAATTCTAGCGGCTTCAAATCAAGCAGGAGAAAGCTAGTAGGCCCACATGTGAGAGAATGGGTCTTTGTGGTCAGTGTGCACAGTATAAAAAAAAATCCTGCAGCACGCAGTGGGTGAGAAAAAAAAAAAACTCCGACCATGTCTTTGGATTAAAACGCCAACTTTGAGGTGTATTTTCGTATAGTATTTATTTTTGTATTCTCATTTTCTTGGCTCACTTGATAGAATGGAAGACATATTACAGAAATAGAGATGATTTTGAATGGTTTCACAATGAGAAGGACCTTGAAATTGACCTCAAAGCAGCAGAAATGTTTGATTTTTGCTCATGTTCAAGAGTAAACAAATGATGTCACCGTCCAATACGTGTCCAATTGGCCAATCCAATATGCAGTCATGAATGGGTTGACATTATTTATACAATTATTACAATAATGCATAGACATAACATAAATTTTTTTTTTGTGAATAAAAATTTAAATAGAAAGCAAGAGGGGGTGGAGACGTGATAATGAAAAAGAAAAAAGTTATTTTATGGCACGAGTGTCCATTTTTTTTTCTGGACCCTATTTTGAAAATTTTTATCTTTTTTTAATTTTTGTGAGATTTCCAAATGGCCCAATTTCTGACCCCATTATAGGTAGTTGAAATCAGTAAATGGGCAGTTTCTTGTACTCAGTCATAGAACAAATGTAGTTTTAAAAAATAGCTACGATTTGGTTGACTGGAACAGGGAATTGCCAAAATAGGGCTCAAAATTGGGCAAAAATCGCCGATAGTATATATCGCAACTTCAGAATGTAATTCCACATTTTCCATCAAATTTTGTATTTTCATGTCATTTTAATTGGGGAAATGATTCTCTATCATTTCATAGGATTTTTTTTTTTTTTTTTTTTTTTTTTTAATATTTTGCAACACGGAGAGATACTTTAGGATTTGGGGTCACAACAGTCAAAGGGTTAAAGAGGAACATATTATGCCAGGTCATGATTCAACTTTGACCACACTCAGGATATTACTAGTACAGGAGGGCTCCACTTATATGGCAGGTTAAGTTCCATGCTACTGCCATAACGTGGAAATCGCTGTAATGTGAACTGCACATTTTTCACTTATAATGCATGTAAATTCTTCATAACATGTTTACACTATCATATATTAAGTTATCAATATAACTAAGCATTAAAAAATGAAGAAGTAAAATACACATACAGTATACAGGAAGGCCCCGCTTTACGGCGTTTCACTTTACGGCGTTCCGCTAATACGGACATTTCAAATTATGACCAAAACTCACTATACGGCTCCCCCCACCTGACTTTCTAATATGGTCACCGTGCCCCACCCTGTTTGTTTACATTCTCCATGAGCTCAGTAAGCACTAAGTCTCTCCATTTTGTCTGGAAACTCCAAAATTTCAAATGTTTTAAAAGTTATTTCATATTTTATATATACTCTGATAATTATACTTATGTATACCTGTACCTAAATAAACTTACATACATCGAGTCATTTAAATGTCGTATATTACGTTAATATACACATTTTCATTAATCCATCCATGATATTTTTTTCAAAATTATATAATAAACACGATGCATAACATATAAATAAGATAAATACACCCCACAGTAGAATAAATAAACATAAATGTGAGATGTGAGCAGACGACTTCCACAAGTGACGCCATAATAACAATACTCACCGAGTCTCATTAAATGTCGTATATTACGGTAATATACACATTTTCATTAATCCATCCATGATATTTTTTCAAAATTATATAATAAACACGATGCATAACATATAAATAAGATAAATAACACCCCACAGTAGAATAAATAAACATAAATGTGAGATGTGAGCAGACGACTTCCACAAGTGACGCCATAATAACAATACTCACCGAGTCCATTAAATGTCGTATATTACGGTAATATACACATTTTCATTAATCCATCCATGATATTTTTTTTCAAAATTATATAATAAACACGATGCATAACATATAAATAAGATAAATACACCCCACAGTAGAATAAATAAACATAAATGTGAGATGTGAGCAGACGACTTCCACAAGTGACGCCATAATAACAATAGTCACCGAGTCTCATTAAATGTCGTATATTACGGTAATATACACATATTCATTAATCCAGCCATGATATTTTTTTCAAAATTATATAATAAACACGATACATAACATAAAAAGATGATAAATACACCCCACAATAGAATAAATAAACATAAATATAAGATGTGGGAGCCTGGTTTTTTACATAACTCTGCGCCTGTTACTCTCATGTACTCATTCTTTCTCTCTCTCATTTATTCGTTTTATCTCATTTACTTACTCCTGACCCTACATTAAGACTACAAATATTTTAAGGTAAGTAATGAGTGAACTGTATATACATTTTATCGCTCTGGGATGCTTAAATATCATAGAATAGTATGTGTGGGTGGGGTGGCCTGGTGAGGTAGCCTGGCTATTACAATACATACCACACTTGATTTCTTACAATAAATACTACTTGTCTCACCCTAGATTAAGACTAAAATATTTTAAGGTAAGTAATGAGTGCACTATGTGTGTATTGTACTTTTTTATTGTTTTTTGATGCCTGGTTCTATTGCTAACATAATATATGTTAGTGTAAACTTGTTATCTAGTGTTTGTATGCATTTGTAAGTGGAAAAAAAGGGTGTTCCACTTTACGGCGGTTTCCGCTTTACGGCGGTAGCCTGGAACCTAACCCGCCGTATAAGTGGGGCCTTCCTGTACTCATTACTTACCTTAAAATATTTGTAGCCTTAATGTAGGGCAAGGCAAGTACAGGTCTCCCTCAACATTCACGTTTTCAACTTTCACGGGCTTCACACATTTGCGAATTCCCAACCGCCAAATTCCCAGCCGCCAAATCATATTTAAGTTTCCCGCCACCTGCGAGTCCCTACTACCCTCCCTCCGACCCCCGCAACTGGCAGCCAGCCCTCCCACCACTCAGTGTGGTTAGTGTTTTGTTTGTTCATTATTTGCTATTAAACTACAGTATAAATAATGTAAACCCATTCATGACTGCATATTGGAATGGCTATTCGGACAGGTATTAGACGGTGACATCATGTGTTTACTCTTGAACACTGCAAAGAATTAAACATTTCTGCTACAGCTAATAATAACAATAGTAATAATAATAATAATAATAAATATGATATAATTGAAGAAGGAAATTGTACAAAAATACGAGGGAGTGGTTGACACATCGTCAGTGTGACTTTGTTTATTCTGAAGTGAACATTATTCTCCCTGCTCTTCCAAACATTTCACAATAATTCATTGTGTTTGGTGCTTGTAGATTGAGTGTGACTGGAGTGGTAGAGGCAGTGATTGAGGCAATGGTATTTAATAACATACATGTTAATAATAATATGTACTATTATTATTTATAACATATATATTATTAAATGAATGAAAAGAAGTTGGATGTCCTGGCCCTAAGCGAAACAAAGCTGAAGGGGGTAGGGGAGTTTCAGTGGGGGGAATAAATGGGATTAAATCTGGAGTATCTGAGAGAGTTAGAGCAAAGGAAGGGTTAGCAGTAATGTTAAATGATCAGTTATGGAAGGAGAAAAGAGAATATGAATGTGTAAATTCAAGAATTATGTGGATTAAAGTAAAGGTTGGATGTGAAAAGTGGGTCATAATAAGCGTGTATGCACCTGGAGAAGAGAGGAATGTAGAGAGAGAGAGATTTTGGGAGATGTTACGTGAATGTATAGGAGCCTTTGAACCAAGTGAGAGAGTAATTGTGGTAGGGGACCTGAATGCTAAAGTAGGAGAAACTTTTAGAGAGGGTGTGGTAGGTAAGTTTGGGGTGCCAGGTGTAAATGACAATGGGAGCCCTTTGATTGAACTTTGTATAGAAAGGGGTTTAGTTATAGGTAATACATATTTTAAGAAAAAGAGGATAAATAAGTATACAAGATATGATGTAGGGCGAAATGACAGTAGTTTGTTGGATTATGTATTGGTAGATAAAAGACTGTTGAGTAGACTTCAGGATGTACATGTTTATAGAGGGGCCACAGATATATCAGGTCACTTTCTAGTTGTAGCTACACTGAGAGTAAAAGGTAGATGGGATACAAGGAGAATAGAAGCATCAGGGAAGAGAGAGGTGAAGGTTTATGAACTAAAAGAGGAGGCAGTTAGGGTAAGATATAAACAGCTATTGGCGGACAGATGGGCTAATGAGAGCATAGGCAATGGGGTTGAAGAGGTATGGGGTAGGTTTAAAAATGTAGTGTTAGAGTGTTCAGCAGAAGTTTGTGGTTACAGGAAAGTGGGTGCGGGAGGGAAGAGGAGCGATTGGTGGAATGATGATGTAAAGAGAGTAGTAAGGGAGAAAAAGTTAGCATATGAGAAGTTTTTACAAAGTAGAAGTGATGCAAGGAGGGAAGAGTATATGGAGAAAAAGAGAGGGTTAAGAGAGTGGTGAAGCAATGTAAAAAGAGAGCAAATGAGAGAGTGGGTGAGAGGTTATCAACAAATTTTGTTGAAAATAAGAAAAAGTTTTGGAGTGAGATTAACAAGTTAAGAAAGCCTAGAGAACAAATGGATTTGTCAGTTAAAAATAGGAGAGGAGAGTTATTAAATGGAGAGTTGAGGTATTGGGAAGATGGAGGGAATATTTTGAGGAATTGTTAAATGTTGATGAAGATAGGGAAACTGTGATTTCGTGTATAGGACAAGGAGGAAAAACGTCTTGTAGGAGTGAGGAAGAGCCAGTTGTGAGTGTGGGGGAAGTTCGTGAGGCAGTAGGTAAAATGAAAGGGGGTAAGGCAGCCGGGATTGATGGGATAAAGATAGAAATGTTAAAAGCAGGTGGGGATATAGTTTTGGAGTGGT